CTGTATCCTTTCCTGTTCTCTGTCTTCTAAGTCCGATATTCTCTCTTCTGCTTCACCCATTCTGTTTGTAAGGCTCTCTATTTTGTTTTTCATTTGATCTATTGAATTGTTCACTTCATTATGATTTCTCGTCACTATCACAGTTTCCTGTTGTACTAGTTGTTTCATTTCATTTTGATTCCTCCTTAATATTTCATTTTCACGAGAGAGATTTTCTATCTTGTCCATTAAGGATTTCTGTAGTTCAAGAATTTGTTTTTGAGAACTTCTTAATGTTCTTATCAATTTTTTGAGATCTGCTTCTCACATTTCTTCTATCTCATCATCTTCATAATCTTGAATTGGGGTGTCTTTTTCATGTGGGGGCGTCATGGTGACTTCCTTGTTTTTATTACCTCGGTTTTTGCATTTGTTATTTGGCATATTGGAGATATTTGGTTTCTTCACTGTGGTGCTTTTTCTTGTTATACTATGACTCTAGATTAAGTGGACTGTCTGTTTTTGATGGAGCCTTAGAGGCTTGAGATGGGTGTGGCCTGAGAGCTCTGTTTGGTGTGCCAAATGTGACACTCCCAGGTTAGGCGTGGTAGATCTCTCTCTTTCTGTTTCTGTATTTGTTTTTATTTGGATTCAAAAGGAAAGTAATTCCACACAGCTGAACGAAGTTGGAGGTAGTTATCAGGCAATTGATATACCCACAGGAGCCAGAGATCGGAAGCTCTTTCCCAAGGACCCCACAGGGAATCTGTTCTGCCCTCAGAGTGGGCTCAAATTCTCCTTCAATCTCCCACTGGGTTGCCAAAGTTACGGAATTGTAGCGTCTCTGGAGAGTACTCACGTGAATTCCGTGAGTTCTCTCCCCCACCGTCTCTTTTTTCACAGTCTCAGTTCAGTAGCACCACAAATTCACTAGGTCCTAATCTCCTGTTAATTCACCCTGCCCAGAGTCAGGTTTTTCTGCTAGGCTCAGGGCCGGTGCAGACCTGAGGTCGCTGTGCTTATGATGTATGTCCAAGATGGCGCCTGCTCTTTGTCTTGCTCGCCCTTGAGAGGTGAGCAGAGAGAGAGAAACCCGTGTCCATACCAGTCACCTTTTTTTCTCTCTCTCTCTCTTCCAGTTAGCCTGATGAACTCCCCCCCCCCCCGGGGTCATTCCCTCTAGTCTCCTCTTTCCGCTTGCCTGCCTGTGTCTCGGGCTATTGAGGTTCGGCTCACCTCGTGTTCCAGCGCTGGTGTGTTGAGTCTGCCACTGGTGTCCCGAACTGTGGGCTCCCATGCTCTCCACGCAGGTCCACTGTGAATCACGCATTCTGGAAGAGTTTCTTCTGCTGTTTCTTCCCCTACTCTTCCTTGAACCTGCAGTATCTTCACTTTTATTAAACTGTCTCTCCCCGGACTATCAGTGTGCTCCCTTCCTGTTACGCCATCTTGCCTCCTCCTGCATTATAAGCTTTTAAAAGAGATCATCAGGGGGCCGATGCCATGGCTCACTTGGCTAATCCTCCGTCTGCGGCACCAGCATCCTATATGGGCGCCGGGTTCTAGTCCTGGTAGCTCCTCTTCCAGTCCAGCTCTCTGCTGTGGCTCGGGAGGGCAGTGGAGGATGGCCCAAGTGGGAGACCAGGAGAAGCACCTGGCTCCCAGCTTCAGATCAGTGCGGTGCGCCGGCTGCAGTGCACTGGCCGCAGCAGCCATTGTGGGGTGAACCAACAGAAAAGGAAGACCTTTCTCTCTGTCTCTCTCTCACTGTCCACTCTGCCTGTCAAAAAAAAGTGGCAAGTGTATAGTCTCAGAGAAGAGTTAGGGAGAAAATAGCAGGAGAAACTCCATGCAGGATGGAAGGACACAGCAGACTTACATGGAGAGTGTGTACATGCACAACTCAGGACCTCAGTAGCTGAAAGCCCCCACACCGGCCTTGGAGAGTGAGGTGAGACCAGACTGTAGCAACCAAAACCAAATATCAAAAACATTCTTCTCAGGTATATAAAAAATGATGCTGAAATTCATATAGAAACACAGGAGATCCTGAGTAGCTAAAATAATCTTATACAATAAAATCAAAGCCAGAGGTATCACAATCCCAGATTTCAATAATAAGGCAGTAATAATCAAAACTGCCTGGTACTGGTACAAAATCAGATTGACAGACCAGTGGAACAGAATAGAAACTCCAGAAATCAATCCAAGAATCTACAACCAACTTATATTTGACAAAGGAGCTAAAACCAATCTCTGGAGCAAGGATAGTCTCTTCAACAAATGATGCTGGGAAAACTGGATTTCCACATGCAGAAGTATGAAACAAGACCCCTACATCTTACATCTTAAGACCCCTTACATCTTATACAAAAATCTACTCAAAATGGATGAAAGACCCAAATCTATGACATGATATATCAAGTTATTAGAGAACATTGGGAAACCCTGCAAAATATTGGCATGGGCAAAGACTTCTTGGAAAAGATCAGAGAGACACAAGAAATCAAAGCAAAAATTCACAAATGGGATTTCATCAAATTGAGAAACTTCTGTAGTGCAATGAAACACTCAGCAAAGTGAAGAGGCAAAGGACAGAATGTGAACTATTCAACTGATAAAAGATTAATATCTGGAATATATAAAAAGTTCATGAAACTCAACAACAACAAAACAACCCAGTGAAGAAATGAGCCAAGGACTTAAACAGACATTTTTCAAAAGAGAAAGTCCAAATGCCCAACAGACACATGAAAAATGCTCTGCATCACTGGCTGTCAAGAAAATGCATACGAAAACCACAATGAGGTGTTACCTCAACCCCGTTAGAATGGCTCCCGTACAGAAAGCAACAATCAACAAAAACTGGTGAGGATGTGAGGAAAAGGTACCCTAAACCTCTATTGTTGGGAATGTAAACTGATAAGGCCATAATGGAAGACAGTATGGAGATACCTCAGATCTGAATATAGACCTACAATATAACCAAGCCATCTCACTCCTGGGAATTTACCCAAGGGAAATGATATCATCAAATAAAAGTTATCTGCACCCCCATATTTATTGCAGCTAAATTCACAAAAGCCAAGTCATGGAATCAGCCTAAATTCCCATCAACTAAAGACTGGAAAAGAAATTATGGTATATGTACTTTATGGAATACTACACAGCAGTAAACAAAAAAAATGAAATCTGGTCATATGCAACAAAATGGATGAATCTGGAAGATATCATATTTAGTGAAATAAGCCAGTACCAAAGGGATAAATACCACATGTTCTCCTTGACCTGTGATAACTAATAGAGCACCTAAAAGGCAATCTGTAGAAGTGAAATTGACACTTTGAGAAGCAATGGCTTGAACATCCCTTGTTTTGACTATTGAGGAACTTTTTTTTTTTTTTTTTTTTTACAATTTTTGAACTCTTAACGTAGAGTTAAACATATGTGTATAAAGTCAATTGAAAGTAGATCTCAGTAAGAGAGGGAGGAAGAGGAGGTGGCAGGTGGGCATGTTGGGAAGAATTATCATGTTCCTAAATTTGTTATTATGAAGTGTATAAAGTTTATAACTGTAAAACTATATAATTCTGTGTACATTCCTATGGACTTACTTATAAGGGTACAGTTTAACACCTTGGGACTCCAAATCCCCTTAGCTGGGTGGTAAAAATGCCACCTTAAGGTTAAAGTAATAATATGGATGGGATTAAGGGTCTGGTAATAATAATAGAATTAAAAAGGAGGGAAGGCTCCAACATGGAAAGCAGTCCACACAGCAGTCTCATAGAATGACAATCACTTTAAATAGCACTCTGACCTCAGAGTAAGACCTTAAGGCATTCTGGTCTGGCTGAAAGGACCACAGGAGCATTTCAGGCATGGAAAGCCAAGACACTGTGACAAAAAATGTCTTACAAGCAGGACCTCAGTGGGTAAGACCCCAGTGGAAAGAAGTGTTCATCAAAGAAGGAGAAGTTTTTTCTCTGAAGTGAGGAGAGAACCTCCACTTTGCTTATGGCCTTGTCTAAATACTGAAGGAGTATTCAAATGGCTTCCATAGCCTTGGCAGCTCATGTCAAGAGCCTCAGGTGATCACTGATGTCATACATAAAAGTGTTAATTGTTAAATTAACAAGAGTCACTTTGCACTAACTTCCCATGTGGGACTTCTGTCCTCAAAGAGTTGTATTATAACTATGTCTAAGTGCTCTCAAAATATGTATCATTCTTGCGTGCTTCTTTAAAGTTAATTTTCTAAAAAAAAAGAAGTGAAATTAACTTCAAGATGCAGTGAAAATAATTTAAAAAATAAACACAAGTAATTTAGTATATTTATCTTTTATTCCTGATCTAAGTGAGCTCATTCATTAGTTCTAGACTTTCAACTTTATGTATATAATCATGATATCTTCAAATAGAGACAATTTTATTTTTCTTTCCAATATTTATGACTTTTCTTTCCTTAATGTCCTGGCTAGAACTCCCATCTCTAGGTTGAATACTTTTTTCATTCCTGAAATTATGGGGAAACATTCAGATTTTCATTTAAGAATCATATTAGCCACAGGGATTTTATAAATGTCCTTTGTTCAAATGAATGCTACCTTATTCTTATATTCCTGATTTTTTATCATGACTAGGTTCTGAATTTTGTCAAGTGATTACTTGAATCAATTAACATGATCATATAATGTTTTCTTCTTTAGGCTTTTAAAGTGGTGACATACTGGATAATTTCTGAATCTCAAACCAGCTGTACTTCCTTGGAATAAACTCCTTTTGGTTAATCTATAATTCCTTTTACATATTGCTAAATATTACTGGATGATTGTTATGGCTGGAACAAAATTTTGCTCTACAAACTCATGCAGATGTTGAAACCCAAAAGTCTTACATTAACAGCTAATAGATTAATGGTTGATAGATTAAAGTTGGAGGTTTTATCAACTGAAAATCATTGGTTTGGATTAGGTTGCTAGGGAGCTGTGGTTGCATTATGATGTCATTCACCACACCAAGGGTAGAATAAAGGCTGCACCTCCCCACCCCATCCCCATTTCTCTGCTTCCTGGCTCATCATGTAGTCACTCCTCCCACTGCTCTAGCCTTAGTAGGTGCTCGAACAAATGGAGACACCTGATTTTGCACCTTGAACCTACAAACTGCAAGCTGAAACAAACCTTCTTTCTTAAGAAGCTCTTCTGAGGTATTTTAGTTTTAGTAGCCAGAAACTGAAGAACATAGTGATATTTTGTTAAGGACTTTTGTGTCTGTATTTGTATTGGTCTATAGTTTATTTATTTGTTTTTATATATTTTTAATTTTGATATTATTTTTGCTGGTTCTGGCATCAGGGTAAACTGGCTTTATTAAATTAATTGCTTTAGTTTTTAGAAAGGATTTTGTAGATTTAGGATTAATTCTTAAACTGTTAGTAGAATTTTCCAGTGCAATCATCGGACCTAGAGATTTTGGAAAAGTTAAGTTATAAATGCATTTCCTTACTAGTTTTAGGGCTAGTCTAATGATCTATTTAATATTGAGTGAATTGTGGTAGTTTATCTTGTGAGGAAGTGCCTCGCAGGGTCAAAGTTGTCAAATTTATGAATGAGTGCAGGGCTGTTTGTATTTCATGTTATCTTTTTGATTTCACAAGGCCTATAGTGAAATCCTCCATTTCATTTCCGATAGCTGTAAGTTGTCTTTTTTCCCTCTGACAGACTTGTTAGACATTTTCCAATTTAATAACTCTGCCAAAAATCATGTCTTTATTTCATTGTTCCTCTTTGTTTTTCTGCCTCCAGTTTCAATGATTTCTACTCTGAGGTTTATTATTTAATTTCTTATGCTTTATTTCATCTTTGATATTTAGGTTCTTGATGTGACCTGTAGATTATTTTCGTCTTCATCTCATGTCTAATGTATTTAGTGATATAAATCCCCTTCCCAGTACAGCTTTAGTGGTACCTCGAATATTTTGATAGGTTTTGTTTTCATTTAAAATTTTTTTTTGAGATTTTCTATTTGACTCACGGATCATTTAGGTATGAATTTAGTTTATAATTTTTGGTGATTTTTTTCCTAGTATCTTTCTGTTTTTGGTTTCTAGCTTTACTCTATCTCTTTCAGGGAATAGGGTATATAATTTCAATTCTTTTAGGTTTGTTATGGCTTGTTTTGTGACACAGGATATGGTCTATTTTGGTATATGTTCCATGGGAATTTGAAAAGAATGTATATGTGTCTTTTTTTGGATGAAGTGTTCTATAAACACTTTTGCCACTCTTTGATCTATGGCTCTGTTGAGTTGTTGAAGATTCTTGTTGATTTTCTGTCTAGCTATTCTACTGTTGATGTTTATAATTGTTGTTGTGTATTTGTCTTCTAAGTTCTTTCAGTCTGTGTTTTTTGATGGATTGACTTTTATGAACATACAGTGTCTTTGTGACAATTTTTTCTTCTGAAATCTACTTTATCTGATATTAATGGGGATGCTCTTGTTTATCTTGAATTAATGCTTGCAGAAAATGTTTTTTTCTTATTCTTTTATTTTAACTTTATATGAAAAGAATTTCTCATACATAGCATATAATTAGGTGGTAATTTTTAAGATACTCTCTTTCGGTGTGTTTTGGCCAGTTTATGAAAATGTAATATAATTATCGTCATGTCATAGTTGTTTCAGTTTTTGTTTCATGTTTATTCTGTTTTTTTCTTCTCTGTTTTCTTTTTTCTTATTTACCATGGGCTACTTGATTTTTTTGTAAATTCATTTTGATTTGCTTCTAATGTCTTTTTATGTTTCTGGTTGTAAAGTTTTTTTTACAGTTAGTCCTATGTATTATAATTTATGAATGTTTTGTATTTATCAGTTCAAGTGAAGTCAGAAACCCTACTTCTCTTCATATTCCTTTACCCACTCCAGTTTATGACTGTTGAACATAATTTACTTTCTGTATATTTAGAAGCATATTGGATATATAATTTTTAAGTCAAGCATAATTTAGACCATTCAAGAGAAAAAAACTTACTGTATTTGTACATATTTTTGCTTACTAGTTTTCTTTCTTTTATTTTTAAAATATTTATTTATTTTGAAATTCAGAGTTTCATAGAGATAAGGAGAGACAGAGACAGAGACAGAGGATTTTCCATCCACTGGATCACTTCCTGGATGACTGCAATAGCCAGGGCTTCACCAGGCTGAAGCAAGGAGCCAGGAACTCCATCCTGGTCTTCCAGTTGGGTTCCAGGGGACCAAATTCCCAGACTCTTTCCCAGGCCATTAGCATGGAGCTGCATTAGAAGAGGAATGGGCAGGAAACCAACTAGAGTCCATATGGGTTGCTAGAGTTGCAGGTTGTGCCTTTACCCCTTATGCTACAATGCTGGCTCCTGGTTCTCTTTCTCAATGTCTCAAAGTTCCTTGATCATTTATTCTCTGCCTAGAAAACTTCCTTTAGGCATTTTCAGAGTATATCTGTTAGTTTCACATTCCAGAAAATATCTGTTAATGACACATTCAAGAATATATCTGTTAGTGACATTTTTCTTCCTCATTGAACATCTTCATTTATCCTTCATCTTGAAAAACAGTTTCCTTAAGTACAGGGTTCTGGAGTGATATTTCTTTTATCTAGCTACTTTCTAACAAGAAAGATGTGGTTGTACCAATTGTTTCCTATAGGGAAGATGTCCTTTTCCTTGGTTGCTTTTTCTTTGCTTAATGTTCAAAAGTTTAAAGATGATGTGTCTTGGATTTAATGTCTTTTCATTCAGCTTCTTGAATATGTGGGTTTGTGTTTCCTGCCAAATTTGCTATGCTCTCAGCTATGATTTCTTCAAGTTCTTCTCAGCCTTATCCTCTTTCTCCTCTCCTTTCAAGGACTCCAGTAACATGAATGTTAGATTTGTTAAAGTCCCACAGGTCTCCAATCTGTATTATTATAGTTTTTAATTTGTTCTATTCTATCTCTGCAGCTAAGATTGGGCGATTTCCTTTTTTTTTTTTAAGATTTTATTTATTTATTTGAGAGGTAGAGTTACAGACAGTGAGAGAGACGGAGAAACAGGGAGAAAAGTCTTTCATCCGCTGGTTTACTCCCCAAATGGCCGCAACGGCCGGTGCTGCGCCGATCCGGAGCCAGGAGCTTCCTCCTGGTCTCCCATGCAGGTGCAGGGACCCAGGGATCTGGGCCATCTTCCACTGCTTTCCCAGGCCACAGCAGAGAGCTGGATGGGAAGAGGAGCAGCCAGGACTAGAACCGGCGTCCATATGGTGCCGGTGTCCATATGCCGGTGCTGCAGGAGGAGGATTAACCTACTGCGCCACTGCACTGGCCCCAGATTGAGCGATTTCTATTGTTTTGTCTTCCAGGTTTCAAATTCTTTCCTCCATTTCCCCATTCCACTGTTGAATACATCCACTGTGGTCTACATTTCAAGTATTGTATTTTTCAATTGTAAATTTTCCATTTGGCTCTCTTTTGCATCTTTTTTGAGACTTTTTATTTTTTTCATTTGTTTCAAAAATCATTAAAATTGCTCTTTAATATACATTTTTCATGCTTTTTTTTTAAGCCTATGTCAGATAATTTTTCCTTCTCTGACATCTTGGTGTTGGCATCAAGTGATTGTCTCTTCTGTATTTGGTTTGAGATCTTTCTGTTTCTTGGTATCAAAGGGATTTTTTGAGATAATATATTTTAAATTTGCATTATAGTTAAAAGTTTAATGCTCCACTAAATAAAGAGGTCAACAAGTAAAAAGTAGAAAGACTAGTTCAGTGGGACAGTATGCAAGGGCTATACAAAACAATCAAATAAAATGATGTCCATTTCACTAAAATATAATAAATTTTAAAATAATTACAGACTAAAACTATAGTAGAAGAAAGTAAGAAAGAAATAGAGAAAGAAGAAAGGTGTGAGAGAAGTATTATATTCTTAGAAGTATATCTATGAATTACATGAAATATGTTATCTTTGTATTAATATCACAATAACATGAGGACCGATGAGAAAAAAGGTGATTTTTTTATTAGAATATAAGCATTTTTGTATCATCGTGTGCTATATGATCTTAGTTAAACCTATGGTTTTACCTGTTTTTCTCTGGTGTTGTTCTAGCAGTGGAAGGAAAAGTGTTGATTATGATCACACAGACGTTCCCTCCTGGCCTCCCTGCTGACACCAGAAGTGGGGAGCTCATCACTACTGCTCCTTAGTGGTGTGGCTTCTAGCTCTCCACGCAGTTCTCAGGGACACTGCAGCAGGAGGGAGGTGGGAGGAGGAGGCATGCAGCCACTGGTCAGCAGAGCTCAAGCTCCTGGATTTCTGGTTAACCTTCTTTGACATGACTCCTGCAGGAGTGGTGGGACACCTCATTACAGTCTAGTGAGGAGGATCAGCTTTTCTGGTGTGGCTGTCAGTGTAACCATAGTTTTTTCTGTGGTGTTTGGCTGCTGTTGAACACTCATCACTGAAAAGCTTTCTGTCTTACTGGGCCGCCCTTTTCTGGTTCTTTGGATGCATAGAGCAGATGTTTTGTTGAGCCTTTTCTTTTTAAAATTTATTTATTTGAAAGGCACAGACAGAGAGGGAGAAACAAATTGGAAGAGAGAGAGAAAGAGAGAGAGAGAGAGAGAGAATCTTCCAATTTCCACTGTTTTACTTCTCAAATGGCTGCCATGGCTGGTCAGGCAGAAGCCAGGAGCCTGGAACTCCATTAAGGTCTCCAGTCTGGGTGGCAGGGGTGCAAGCCCTTGACCATCTTCTTCTACTTTCCCAGGTACATTAGCAGGTAGTTGCCCAGAAGAGGAGCAGCCAAGACTTGAAATGACACTCCTATGGGATGCTGGTATAGTGTGTAGCATCTGAACCACAGTGCCACAATGCTGGCCCATTTCAGTTCCTTCCCCTCCTCTCCCCTTCCCTCCCCTTCCCTCCCCCCCCATTTTTTTTTTTGTTTTGTTTTTGTCTCTGTTTATTGGCATTCCAGGTTGTAAGAATTTTCAACTCTGGGTCTGAAGTTTATCAGGCAAAAATTAAACTCATGGAGCTTACCATGAGGCTATGTCCTTAGCCAGCCTGCTGCTTCTCTCTGTCTTTCAGAGTCTTCTGGTGTTCATTTTACTTATAATGTTCAATTATACTTAGTGGGAGAAATATTTTCACAAAAATAGAAGTTTCAGGACACATAGTATTT